CTTTAACTTCTTCACATGCTGTGACAAGTTTGTCCATTTTTTGATCCAGTTTATCGTTACTATTGAATTCAGTTTTTGGGACACTTGTAGAACAAAGAACCCAGTGATGATTGCGAATTATCACCCTCTCAATAATCACATTGCAATTTTGATTGGTCAAAAAATGTAAACAAATCAAGTGATGTGACTAGGGTGGGGAACGGGCCGGCCCGTTCCCCACCCTAGATGTGACGTATCAATTATCCATAATAGATGGTGCAACTATGATGATCTACATAAGTTATTGATATTAGAGAAACTTTTGTCGACTATGTTGAATAAGCTTTTTGTGATGTTTATTGCCTTAGACGGTCTATTGTGAGAGTTAATCTATATGAATGTGTTTTGTTTTTTTTGCCTTCTTATTTCATAAACTAACATTCTTGAACTTGGGATTTAGAATTGTAAATTAGCCGTAGTGAAGCTAAGTATTTTTTTCGTATGTCTGTTTGCTTATTTGCTTAAGCTTTTGCTCAGTTATTTCATAAATGTTTTGATCAGCTATTTATTTTTTTTTTTTTGCTATTTTGAATCAGTACAAGAAGATAGATTATGAATGCGAAGCAGGTATAGTGAAGCTAATTTTTTTGTTTTTGCTGTTTGCTTGAACTATTATTAATTGCGCTTTTTTTTATTTATTAGTTTTTTATTTTTATTTATAGTAGTTGTTTAGTCTGGATATTTGTGGCTAGAGATAGAATAAAATACACATTAATGTGTATTATGCATTGTGAAAGTGGTAATTACCAGAGGATGATACTACAACTAAATATAACTATAATCTAACACTACAAAGTTATACTACCAAAACCTAAAACTCCCAAATAAAAGACTTCGACTGGAGGCATGGTGAGATTTGGTCTGAGTTTTGGGTCTTTTGGGTCTTGTATGGTAATATCGGGACTTAGATAAGTATTCTTTCTTGAATTTTGTACTTTGCTTGACTTTACTTTTTAGTATTATTAACACTAGTATGCTTTTGCAGAGGGTACTTTGGCAAGGGTTTTATAATATCTTTGATTGTGAACTTAGTTCACTGTGTTATGTAATTATGTAATTACAAAATAAATCATAATACGTATTTGTTCAAATAATGTGGATCACAAATTTAATCAATTCGAGATAAAATTCAACTATTACCTCTATTTATGGCAAGTGGAAATTAAATATAAATATAATTTTTTATTTAGGTTTTTGTTAAGTTATATTTAATATAATCATATTTTATTTTTATTTAGGTTTTTATTATATAACTATAGCTCTATATTTATTTATTTATTTATTTATCTATATAAATGTAATTTAAAATATTAATAAATTTTACTTTTTTTAAAAAAGATTTTTAAATTTAATCTTCAGTTGGAGTTATCTAAAATTTATTTTAAAGGTAAATGTAACAATCAATTTAAATTTTATTTATTTGACTTATTTAAAAAAATATTAATTACCTCTTCTAAATCTTCAGCATATAATACTATATGTTCTACTAGTTTATTAAATGCTTTAGATTTATCCTTAACAAACCGTCGTCTCCACATATATTCAAAAAAATAAGTATTATATAAGTTTTTGACTGTTCCATAGCGTGGAAGAGATGATTTTACTGCACGCCAAGTAGACTCAATTGTATTTGTATGAACTCCCGTTTCAGGATCCTTAAAGTTTTCTGAATGGTTGACTTGTTCTAGTTTCCACCCGTACTTTTCAAAATCTACTACCTGGTAAGCTCCCCAGCAATCACTATAAATAGTGGTTCCTTCTTCTATATATTCTTTCAAAATTTTTAACAAAGTTTCTTTAGTGCGGTTAGGAACCGACACTAAAAACATTTTATCTGATTCTCTTTCAATTCCTCCAAAAACCCATTGCCCTTCTACTTTTTTTCCTTTATTATACTTACGTTTACCAAATTTACTTTCATCAATTTCTACAGTCTTTCCTTCACCACCAATTTTTTTATAATCTTGATTCATTAGTACTATAGCGCATATATCACGACAAAAATTATACCAATCAACTGCCGTTTTAGTACTAATATCAGTTTCACACATGATGAATTGTTGAGGTAATTTATGAGACCAGCAAAACATAATTTTAGCAATTTGTGAAAGAGATAATTTGGCATTTGCTAACCAAGTTCCTGATCTTAGAGTATTTACATGGCCACAAGCAGTTCTTGAGGTACAGACCCATTTTTGGTTATCCTTACGGGACATATCTTTCGTTTTACGCATAGGGTTTTGGCATTTTTTACAGAGACGTATTAAAGTAAGAATGCCAAGGTTTTCAAAAAATTTTACAGCTTGTTCTGTATCTTGTGTATTAAAATAGATATCACCATAAGTTTTTACTAACATAGGCGAAGATGAAACAATCTCTTGATTTTCAGCCATTGTTTTTTTTTTAATTCAAAAAAAGGAGATGCTATTTAGGTTTTGAAAATTTGATCTTGGATTGAATAATTCTTCAAGTTAAAGCTAATCTAAAAACGATAAGATATTACTATTACTTCTTTTATACTTTTTGAATACAATTAATGAAAAGATATCTATTAATTTAATCTATTTTTTATTAAATATTTAGAAGCTTCGAATATATACTATTTTCACGAATTTGGCATATATTTACAAAAGCATAACAGTCAGACTTCTCTAAATGCATGCCTTTGGGACTATAGTAAAAAAAAATGCTTGGCACGTATTTACAGAGGTATATACCATTCATCATACCTTTATAAGTGCATTTTTTTGGAACTGTAGTAAAAATATACAAAAAGTGCACTTTAAGAGGACATGCATTTAGTGAGGTTAAAAAATTTATAATTATTTTATTATTTCGAACCAAGCAGAAATTGCATTTAAAATTTTTTTTCATAAAGTATACACTTAAGGGAGGCATATTTAGAGAGATTTAATTGTATTTAGGATTGAATTAATTTAATTTTTTTATTTTATTTTATGCATTCGGCATGCATTTATAAAAGTATATACTTAGAATCGAATTTATCTTATTTTTACGAATTCAACATGCATATATTTAATAAATTATTTATTATTTGTGATATTATTTAAAATTAATTCATAATGCTAATTGATCTATTTAATAATTTATATTACGCATGTGCATAATGTATAAAATCGATTTCCAATAATTTTTTATTTATTATAATAATATTATTTTTAATTACATTGTGGATCGAGTAATTTTAACTATTCTTATTTTAGATAAGATCAAATAATAATATGAATATAGATGATTTGCACAGATGTGGTTTGCTAATGATTGTAATGCTCAATTGCTACTATAGGATAGGTAAAATGTAAAAATACTGTTATATTGAATGGCACAATTCGAATGCCACTAAACTGCTATTCGAGCTACTATCACATGAATTCGAATAGTAGTTTGAGTGGCATTCAAATTATGCTATTCAACATAGCGATATTTTTAATTTTTATCTTATAATAAAAACCCAAATCAATGCTTGACCAACTTTTAAATGCTATCGAGAATAATATCAACTTGGCCACCTCTTATTCATATATTTATAAATTTTTACATATGATTCGATTTTGTTAAACTTCATCACAAAATTTAGGAATAAAAATTTTTATTTATTTATTAAATTTAATAAACAATTGATTTTTATTACTACAAATATTATTAGAACTAATTATAATGCTACTAGTATCTACTCTTACTCTAACGTAGGCATTACTCTAATCCTAACAACCCTAACATATCCTAACCGATAGAATTATAATCACCAAAAATTTTATCAACACCCTTAATCTTTGAACAACAATATGAGCTTGCTTATCACATAATTTTCAAAACGAGATAGTAATAAAACCATTGCTTTATGTTTCATATACTGTAGATTATTTGTTACTAAATATGTATCACATTCTATATATATAAAGCAATTTTCGCTGCATGTTGTAATGGTTGAATTTACCTCGGGAACCACACCATCCCAAATACATCAATCGTCAAATATTTGGTTTGTTGATTTTTGAAAATTGTAAAATTTTAGTTAACTTGAAAATTTGAAAGCAATATATAAAAATATGTAAAAGTATAAAAAGAGTAACGTTTTACCTCAATAAAATTTAACTTAGGAGTTTATACTTTGAAATTGCTAATAGTAGAAGTTCTCCTGAATAATGTCTTCCCATAAAAAATGGAAAAACTTAATAATAGTTTAAGTAAATAACAAAACAGATATAAGAAAAACAATACTTAGCTTTACTACAGCTAACTCACGATTCTAAATCCGAAGTTCAAGAATGTTAGTTCCTAAAGCGCATTTATGTAGCTTAGCTTTCACACTAAACTACAGGCAAATCAGAAGTCAGTCTATGGCAATAAACATTAGATCACAAGAAGTTTATATAACATAGTCGGTAAAACGTTTCTTCTAATATTATTTTTTATCTAACGCTAATTCTGGAAACTCGATTTTTATAGTAGATCATCATGTTACATCACCTGATTTTGTTTACATTTACTGACCAATCAAAATTGCAATGTGATTATTGAGAGGGTGATAATTCGTGATCATCACTGGGTTCCTTGTTCTACAATCTTCCCCAGTTTTTAATAAGGTTAGACATTTGTCTACTTGTTTTTCGATTTTTTGAATTTCCTGTAATAGAAATTAATTAATTTTTTATCTTATTATTATTATTATTTTTATAAATTATATTACTTGATAAATTTTTTCGTCGTCTTTAATATGTTTCTTTATTTCATTTTCTAATTTTGCGATTTCATTCTTAAATTTGTTAAT